ATCGACTGTAAGCCAGGTAGGTCTCTCTCTCTCTCTCTCTCTCTCTCTCTCTCTCTCCTCTCTCTCCTCTCTCTCCTCTCTCTCCTCTCTCTCCTCTCTCTCCTCTCTCTCCTCTCTCTCCCTCTCTCTCTCTCTCTCTCCCCTCCTTTCTCCTCCCCCATCTCTCTTGCCCACTCTGCTCCTTTAGCACTCTCTTTTAAAGACGAATATGTCAATTTAATGCACAACACTATTTTGCAAAACAAACCACTGTTTTCTTCAGAAAGCCAACAGATATCACTAGTCTGTAATATAACAGGGGTGAGCCAGGTGAATGGGGGCTTGGGGTACTTCATTTGGTTCAGAAATGTATGACTTGGGAGATGGTCTGGAAAGGAGTAAATTGACTATAATGAGACTGTTAGGCCTTATTCTTAAACTTTTGATGTGTAAGCTTTTTAGCTGGGGGCAAAGCAGGGAGGCCTCAGAAAGCAGAAAGCAAAAAAAAATCCTCCTGTAAGAAAATAAGCAAGACTTCTTAGCCCAAGCTTGGCTATTGGAGCTTTCTGCAGTACACCACATGACTAAATCACAAGTCTGTTCAATTCAAATTTATTTACTTTTGGCTGTGTTGGGTCTTCATTGCTGCGCGCGGGCTTTCCTAGTTGTGGCGAGCGGGGGCTACTCTTCGCTGCAGTGTGCTAGCTTCTCATTGTGGTGGCTTCTCTTGTTGCAGAGCACGGGCTCCAGGCACGCGGGCTCAGTAGTTGTGGCTCGGGGGCTCTAGAGCGCAGGCTCAGTAGTTGTGGCGCACGGGCTTAGTTGCTCCAGGGTATGTGGGATCTTCCCAGACCAGGGCTCGAACCCATGTCCCCTACATTGGCAGGAGGATTCTTAACCACTGCGCCACCAGAGAAATCCCACAAGTCTGTTCAATTTAAAAGTCACATTTCGTCCTGCTCTCCTTCAGGCACTGGTCCCCAAACTGGCCTGCCCATTGCAATCACCAGGGAAGCCTCAAAAATAATTGAGGCCCATGTCCCACCCCAATAGACTGTGGGTCTCGGGTGTGTCCTGGCCTTGGAATTTTAAAAAAGGACTCCCAGGTAATCCTAACATGAAGACAAGTTTGAGGGCCACTGGGTTTATTTAATGCTGCACGTGTAAACATAACTCACCTTCCCACAACTCAAATTCGTTCCGCCCTGTAAGACACATGCAAGAGAACCTTTCCACGTCAGCACAAAGGCTAGTTGTATTAATTTGTCATCTACCGAACCAATTCTAACACCAAATTTTGCACTACTTTCAAAACCAAAGCCAATTAAAGCAATGAAAGAAAAAGCAGAGGAATAATGGTGAGTTGTTTTTTGAAAATGTTTTTATTTTCTTCTGATTGTTATAGAGCATATTTTATTTCTCATGGCATTGAAAATATTTACTTTTGCAATACTGTTATACTCGGCATATTTTAAACACCAAGTTAAGATCTTTTTTTTTTTCTGCAATACTGTTTATACTCGGCATATTTTAAACAATACTCTTATATTCGGCATATTTTAAACACCAAGTTAAGATCTTTTTTTTTTTTTTTCTGCTCTTTGGCATCAGAAACTAAGTAGTTCTAGTTTACTTCTCACCAAATAGTTTTAGTTTACTTCTCACCAAGGTTCTTTTGTGATACACTGCCACTAAGTCGGTCAGGGAAAACCATGAATATATCCTTTAAGACTCCTCAGAGGACCCTGGGCTGAGAAGGTCTCACATCACCTTGCTTTGGATAACAAATTTAACCCTTGACAGGCTTTTTGTAACTCTGACCTTTAACAATGGCATTGTACAAATAAGATTTGGTGACTGATTCATGCATACATAAACATATGTATGTATGAATATATATTTATATGTATATTCAATCCTGTGTTTATTGCCCATAAAACTTTTAAAAAGTCAATCTGCTGGTCTTCATTTTGCTAGATGGCTGATAATTGATTCACTCATATATATTATGATTACTGACTTATTTGGAATTATTTCTAATATTTTATTGGTGTTTTCATTAATCATGCTTTTCCTTTGCTCTCTTTATCCCCTTTTTCCTGCCTTCTGTTGGAGTGTTTATTTCCTTTTTTATTATTCTTCTACTGGCTTTGAAGCCATACATTCTAATTCCATTATTTTGCTAGTCACCTTTAAACTGTCAGCATGCATACTTATCCTCTCCAAAGTATTCCAAAACAATACTTAAAGAGGTCAACCCCTCATATTTTTGTTATTGTTAGCTAATACTTAATACTTCTTTGTTTTTATACTGTGCCCTACCAAAGTAGTGTTTTTAAGAGTCACTATTAAGAGTTTCACTTTGTTTACCTGTTCATTTACATTTGTTTCTTGCATCTCACTCTTACTTCTGCGTTCACTTTCCTTCTATTTGACACAGAATCTTATATTATTCATTGTTCAGTGAAGATGCAGGAATGCTTAACTCAGTTTCTATAGGTCGTAAAATGTCATTGTTTTACTCTCAAAAATTGTTCAGCTGGATATTGAATTCTTTATGACAATAATCAACTGTCTTCTGGGCTCAGTTGTTGCTGATTTGAAGTTAGCCTTTAGCCTAATCTGCCTTATCTATTATAAATTTTAAGATTTTCTATAATTTCTATGATCTAGGTTTGATTTTATTTTTTTATCCCTCTAGTATTCTTCATGTTTCTCATATTTGAAGATTTGTGTCTTTCTTCAAATATGGAAAATCCATAGCCATTACCTCTTCAAACATCACCTCCCCCATTATTTCTGTTCACATCTTCTGGAACTCCCATTAAAAGTATATTGAACTTTCTCATCTATTCTTAGCTCATAACTTTTCTTTCATGTTAACAGAATATATATATATGTGTATATATATATATATATATATATATATATATATATATATATATATATCTTTATGCTGTTTATGAGAGATTTCCTCAGATTTCTTCACTATGTTTAATCTACATCCAATCTATCCTATGTTCCCATATATTTCATTTCTGGAATTTCTGTTTGGTTCCTTTTCAAATCAACCTGTTCCTTTTGGATACTATAATGTTTTGCTTCCTTTATCTCTTTGAATATATTAACCATGTTAATTTTATTTTTAATTTTATTTATTTATTTATGGCTATGTTGGGTCTTCGTTTCTGTGCGAGGGCTTTCTCTAGTTGTGGCAAGTGGGGGCCACTCTTCATCGCGGTGCGCGGGCCTCTCACTATCGCGGCCTCTCTTGTTGCGGAGCACAGGCTCCAGACGTGCAGGCTCAGTAATTGTGGCTCACGGGCCTAGTTGCTCCGCACCATGTGGGATCTTCCCAGACCAGAGCTCGAACCTGTGTCCCCTGCATTAGCAGGCAGATTCTCAACCACTGCGCCAGCAGGGAAGCCCAACCATGTTCATTTGTAAAGTTTCATGTTGTTCTATTATTCCTAATTCTTGGATGGGGACTCTCCCATTTTTTTCATTTCATTTGCTGAACCCTCGTCATGATGGTTGGTTTCCTCATGTGATTTGTAAGTTTTTGCAATGAGCGCATCCTTGGCCAGGGTTATTTGTAGTGGAGGTCCAGTGTTCCCTGTCCTGTTGAAGCCTCCCTCCAGGGTGACTTTGCGTTTGCATCTGAGAGTTCTGTGGGCTGCACTGCCTCCAGGTTACTCAGCTTCGCTTCAGGTCCTTATAGGTCCTTATACCGTATGAGGGCTGTGAATTTGGGCCACGTACCAGTATGGGGTCCTGGCCTCGGGCTCCAATTTTTTTTCAGGTGACTATTTCTACCCAAGTTGCCAGGAGATGACAAATTATTTTGCCACTTTTGCAGGCCAACAGGTAGTTTTACTCGTCCATATTTTGTAGCTAAGATAGTACTTGATTATCTTAGTGTTATGCAGGTAGCTTTACTTCAGCTCCCCACACTCATGGGATTTGTGATTTAGGCTCTCTCCTCTCTGCGCCAGTATTAAAACTCTAGCCCCAAGGCCTATACCTGGTTCTGAAACCCCAGGAACTACCTCCGCTTCAGCTCACCCGTATGATTTTGAGTTTCCTCTCTTTTTCTGGCACCTGGGTTAGCTTTCTTCCTTTCTTCCTTTCCTTCTCTTTTTCCCCTCCTTCTTCCCTCCCTCACTCCCTTCCTTCCCCTTCCTCTCTCTGACTCTCTTTCTTACTTCCTTAGTGCAGCCTGATTGAATGTTTTGTTTGTTTCATTTTATCCCGCATTTCTGTGTGTTTGGAACAGGAAGAAAAATTCTTCCACATCAGCTCGGCCTGTCATGTTTGCTGATATAATCTTAAAATATATTAAGACAAGAGTGTACTTACTACATTAGAACAGTGCCTGATATATATACATCATTAAGTAAGTGATAAGTACTTGACAATAGCTAGCTTTTATTAAATACTTACTGTTTTCTAAGAATTGTTCTGAGTCCTGTATGTGTCTTTACTCATTTACTCCTTAATTTTACAAGGTTGGTATATATTCACACACATTTTCAAATTATATTATTCTTATTTTATAGATGAAGAAACCAAGACACTGGAATATTAAGCAACAGGATTTTGAACCTAGACAGTCTGGCTCCAAGCTCGTCAGCTTTATTAAGATTTAACTTAAATAAAATTAAGTCTAGATTTTGATTCGCTTTGACAAATGTATATACACAGTCGAGTAACCACTACTACAATCATACTATCTCTTAGAACAATTCCATCACCCCAAAAAGTTCCCTTTGCCCGTTTGTAGTTAATCTCCTCCCACAGCCTGTCACCCCTAGCAAACACCGATCTGTTTTCTACCACTGTAATTTTGCCTTTTCTAAAATGTCACATAAGTAGAATCATACAGTGTCTGGCTTCTGTTACTTAGCATAATGCTTCTGAGGTTCCTTCAGGGTATTGCAAACATTAGTTGTCCATTACTTTTAATTGCTGAGCAGTATTCCGCTGAATAGATATACCACATTTTGTTTATCTTTTACCAGTTAATGGATATTTGGATTGTTTTCAGTTTGGAGCTCTTACAAATACAGCTACTATGAATGTTCACATACAAATCTTTAGATGGATATATATCTTCATTTCTCTTGGGAAAATATCTAGACATGGAATTACAAGATTACATGGTAAGTATATGTTTGACTTCTAAGAAACTGTCCAACTGTTTTCCAAAGTGGCCATACTAGTTGCAGTCCCACTGGCAAGCAATTTATGAGAGTTCTAGTTGCTTCACTTACCCCTCAACATTTAGTATTGTTAGTCTTTTTAATTTTCTCCTTCTAGTGACTATGTTGTGATATCGCATATGGTTTCTATTTGCATTTGTCTAATGACTATGACATTGAGCACTTCTCCTAAGTTTATTTGGCATCTGTAAATTTTTGGGAAAGTGTCTATTCAAATTCTTTGCCCTTATTTTAATTGAGTTGTTTATATTTTATAAATTACAGTTATTTTTTATATATTCTGAAAATAAGTCCCTTATCAGACATATACTTGGCAAATATTTTCACCTGTCTGTGCAAAGCCTGTACTCTTTACCACTACTTATATTGCTCCTCAGTATTTATCGAAATGATTGAGGAATTTCCATAGGGCGATGGCCCCTTCCTACCCCTACCAGCAACTGCAGCTTTTGCAATTAATAAGGAATCCTGTTGACATTTTTGTTTGAAGACCCAAAGTTCACATTTTCACTACTAATTGAATCTTTTCTGTTTTGGTACAGAACTAAACTGTCTTCTCTTGGATTTGAAGAACTGATGAGATCGTAACTGTGATTACCTCTGAACTCTCTGTCTTTACAATCCATTGAAAATGATTAGACACGTCTCTGCTATATAAACACAGTCCTGGGCAGATTGTCTTAAAGCGTCCTGTTTTTCATTTACCAGTTTTTTCCTTATGGAAAAAGACAGTTTCCAGCAGTTAGAACTAGAAAAGCATAGACCTTCCAAAAGGAGGACTCCCAAAAGAGTTATCCATTTTGTTGATGGTGACATCATGGAAGAATATAGCACAGAGGAAGAGGAAGAAAAAGAGGAACAGAGAACAAATTCAACACTTGATCCTGTAAGCTTAGAATATCATTATTAGCGAACATGGGGGCTGAGTGAATGCGAAATTAAGGCAGATGAGGTTTGTGGAAAACACAGTTTTAAGCTAATTCCTTGCTCTCCTTGGTTTGCTTTCTACAGCCAAGTACAATCAACTTATAATTTTGATAATCTTAGGTTTCTCATCTATGAGAGAAAATGGAACCTATTACAAAGTATTTTGAAACTTCTACACTGCAGACTCTGCAGTCACCACTCCTGTTATTAATTTATGCTGATTTGGTTTCTCTTTTTTTTCAGTCTAAACTTTCATGGGGGTCCTACCTATGGTTTTGGGCAGGGCGAATAGCAAGGACCTCATTTTCTAGTAAGTACTGCTAAGGTTATTTTTTTCTGTCCTAAATATAGACTTACAGACCCTCAGAGTTAGATGGGACTTCCAGTGGTTTAATCCACTCCGTGGCATTCTGAAGAACTGGTCGCTTCCATATCTACGCTTGAACATTCCCGAAGGCATAGAACCTCACATCTTCAGGCAGACCCTGCCATCTTTTCTCAACTCTTTTTAGTAAATTCTATCTTCTATTCTATCTTCTTTTAAAGTTCTTCCCATTGATCCTAGTTGTCTTTTTAAAAGCCAGACAACACCAGTCCAGATTCCTCTTTCATAGAATTTCAAATATTTGAAGACAATAGTCAGTCCTCCCTGAGGTGACTCTTCACCTGAATAAACTTCCAAGTTTTTTCTTTTTTCAACTGTTACCTGACACAGTTCCAAGTTCCCTTTTCATAATCACTCTATTATAACAATTTTAGTGATCCCTCCCAAGGACATAATGAATAGCCTAAGTGGCTACTTACAAGAGACAAAATACTAAATCTTATTTTGTTTGACTTTCATCAATTTTTTAAAAATCACAATTGGCAACATGTAATTACTCATTTCCTTCTAACTTGCATATGCTTGTGTATGTGATGGGGGGAAACAACTTTAAGAATCTGAGAAAATATAAAATATAGCTCTTAGGAATTGATCTTCATTCATTCATTCAGTAAACATTTATTGAGTCCTCATGTACGCTCAGCACTGTGCAGGACCCTGGGACACAAAGACAAATGACAGTCTTTGCTTTCAAGGGCCTTAATAGTCAATGGGTAATATAGGCCGGTAAACATGCCCATGATGATAATTTGTCGTTACAACCTCCATGGCAGGAGGAGTGTAGGGACTATAGACTGGGATACTCAGGAATGTTGATGTACAGAGGAGACATCTTAAGGATGCTATGAAAGTATGTCTGGCCAAGGCCAGCTTGGGGACCATGAAAGTGACCAGGGGGTCTTTAAATCACATTAAAAGTAATGATAAGGGAGATTTAGTCAGATGGTATGAGCCCTAAGTGCTTTTTGATCAAGGTGGAAGGTTTGTAATTTGGAAGTTACTTTAGAGACCCAGGTGAATACTGACCTTACCTCAACCAAAATATGTTGGCAGAAGAAATGCTGCCTTCCAGAGACTTCTATGCTTTAGTTAGGGCAAGACTGTTTGAAGAGGTGAAATATTTTGGAGGGAGGGAGCCTTAGAGATTAGATCAGGTAAAAGAAGCAAAACTCAGTACAGCAATATGAGCGTGTGAAGGAGAACAGGGACTACAGTGATTTCTATGTTGGGCTTTGACTTCAGATGACAGGGGCAGGACACACAGGGAATCAGTCTGCCTTCAGGGTTCCAAATGGAACTGTAGCCTGAAAGGGCTTCTGCCGGGGGCTTCCAGATTTTAGTGAAGGCATAAATACGCTAACAGTCTGATCTTTACACAGAGACTTTGGTTAGAGCTGGAACCCAGACGACACTGGTAATTAATTTTTTCCATGTAAGATTCTAGTAGGTCATAAACAGGAAAACTTCCTGAGACTTATTCTAATGTTTTAGAAACTTCTCTTATGCACATGTACTAGGCACTGTGGCAAACAAACAGATTACAGAGCTAGAGTATTTTTGAAAGGATAAAGCACGTTAAAAAAGAATAGACGGCATCATTTTGATGCACTGTATGAGCAATTTCTTCAGAAGTGGAATGAATCATGGGAATCAGAAAGTCCTATAACGGGGTGAGGCACATCAGAAGTCCTATACTTTTACAGGAGAACATCTCTAGGAGAGACCTTTTTGGAAACCCCTCATTATTCATGCTAAACCTTTATCCCTAACTCTTAACAATCCCTGAGGCTGCAGGCCACCTTGATATTGTAACTGAAGGCAGACAAGGAAGGTCTTAAATTGCTGCTAGGAAGGAGTTTGTTTTGATGCATGGAAAAATTTCTGACATGGGTCTCAGTAACATTGGATTTAATTTGGGGTATACTTTGCAACATACTCACAGCTGATGATCAGATGATACACATGGGGATAGGCAACATCTGTTCTGATTGCTCAGGACCTGTACCTGTTATTAAGTATTTTGAAAATCTCCCCTGATATATTCATCTGGAAAGGATAGTTTACATGTAATCCTATGTGAAGACAGAAGATTTAACAAATTCCCTTTGAGTCCTAGGACTTTTTGAGGGTCTGGAGCAATTGAAATCTTTTGTCAGCCTTGAAGTTAAGTATAGTAATAGACCATTTGAGGGCAAGTTGAAACTTGAGTTTAAGCTTTAATTATTATTATTATTTTTTTTGCGGTACGCGGGCCTCTCACCGTTGTGGCCTCTCCCGTTGCGGAGCACAGGCTCCGGATGCGCAGGCTCAGCGGCCACGGCTCACGGGCCCAGCCGCTCCGCGGCATGTGGGATCCTCCCGGACCGGGGCACGAACCCGCGTCCCCTGCATCGGCAGGCGGACTCTCAACCACTGCGCCACCAGGGAAGCCCTAAGCTTTAATTATTAATTCAGTTTACCAAAGCGTTTTTCTTTCTTCTAGCATGTGAATTCCTTGGTGGAAGATTTGCTCTCTTCTTTGGTCTTAATCAACCCAAATACCAGTATGTGTTAAATGAGTACTATAGAACACAAAATAAGGTATGTGACATCCCGCTGGGGACACCAAGAGCCCTGAGATGGGAATGTTGGTTGTTCCTGATTTGGGCTCTTACAGAGGAGTATTTTCCCACCTGGTAATTCATGTAACTGCAGTTTCACTGAGCTCCCATGGTCAGACTTTCTTTTTCCAATGCCCCTCACCCCATGATGCTTATTCGTATTTGCCTCTCTTGTGTGAAGTTAGAAGGTCCTGAGATAGTTCGTAGATGGTAGTCGAGTGTGAAGCCTGAGATCGCATAAAGGGGAGGCTTCTTATAAGGCTGTCTCTATAAGAGGGGGAGATCAGAGGTATTGGGTTTACTGTTAAACATTTCCTTATTTCTCTCTGTATCAGGAAAGTGAAGGGAATGGATCAAAGGCCCAACCAGCCAATGTTCCCAATGAAAAGTGTCACCTGGAGGCTGGGGCCCGAGAGTATGGAACGAGACAACAGGACATTGCCGAGGGCATTCCTCGGTGGAGTATCTCATCCAGCGAGGGCCTGATGGCAGATTCCAGCTCCTAATGGGCAGCGGGGCTATAGTTCCCCTGGATCTCTCATCCTCGGTCATTGATTACCAAGGCAACAGCAACACAGGTAGCACTTCTGAGCCAGATCTGATCTCAATCTCTTTGTGATTTATTCTCCAGCAGCCAGGAATTGTAAACAATCATAAGAACAATTGTGGATTCTTTCTCAATGTAAATTTTTATTTATAAGCCCAGCAACCCAACTCCACCCCAGTGATATAAGTCCTGTCCGTCAGTTGTGGGCTACTAGTATTGACATTTGCACAGTAGTATAAATGCCTTAAGGAACTTGGGCACAGGAGTTTTAGGCTGAAAACTCTTTGTCACGTGGTGAGGGTACAGAAAAGGACCCTCTGTTCCTCAAAAGAAACTTTGGGCATTATGAAGTCTAAATCCTTTCAGGGTGTCCTTTGCAATAGCTATGTTGGCTTACTTGGGGCTTGCTTTGCAATAAGCAAACATTGCTAATAACTCTGTTTCAACATAGCAGTCTTTGAGAGTTGGGTGCATTTCTCCCCAGACACGTCAAAAATAAATAAATAAACAATCTAAGCTCTAGAAAAAGTATTTGGAAAAAGTGAATGATTCTCTCGTTTACTGGTCAACAAATTTTCAAAAACTCTAAAGATCAGACATGGAAATCATAGCTGGATAACACAGGTTGCGCTGGCCAAAGGTAGCTATGATATAGAAAAACACAGGTTTTGCAGTAAAAAGACCTGAGTTCAAGTCTCAGTTCTGCTTTTTACTAGTCGTGTGATTTTAGGTGTCTAAATTTCTGAGCCCCAGTCTCTTTCTTTGTAAAATAGGGGTGGCATTTATTTGTTTCTCAAGGGTTACTGTTAAACGAAATGAACTAATAAATGTGAAAATTCTTTTAAAACTGCGAATATTAGTTGTTAATGCTTAATTAGTGGCTGTCATAGACTGTTCTATTGAAGGTCCCCAAAGAACCATACCTTCTGGAATTCATGTCCTCACATAGCCCCACCTACATTGACTCTGGCCTTGGCTATGTTACTTGCTTTGGCCAGTGAGATAGTAAGTAGCAAATGTGATGCAACTGGATGCCTGATAAACACTTGCACCGGGGACTTGTCCTCTTAGAAAGCTTCACGTTGTAAAGAAGTTTGCGTTAGCCTTCTGAATGATGTGAGGCCACGTGGAGAGAGGACCCCAAGGATGAAAGACCATCTTAGGCGTTCCAGCCCCAGCCATGCTCCCCAGCAAATGCAGCCACATAAGTGAACTTCTCCTGCCCTATGTGCAGCAGATAAACCATGCAGCTGAGACCAATCAGCCAACAGAGTCATAAGAAACAGTAAGTCATTTTAAGTTGTGGAGTGGTTTGCTATGCGGCCATATAAAGTGAAATAATAACTCTAAGAGGATGGGAAGTTGGAATTGATTTGATATGAAATCAAGGACAGAAGTAGGCCTAGAGAATAACGTGTGGTTAGTTGAATACATGAGGATAAAATAGGTTATCTGGCATAAACAGACAACTCCAAAATCTCAGTGGCTTAAAACAACAAAAGTTTCTTTCCTTCTCATGGGAGGTCCACCCTCAGTTCAGATGGCTTCCCACCGTGTTCTCCAGGTGCTGGCTCAGTAGCACATGCTCCTTTGATCCTACAGTTCCTCCAAACTGATGCTCTCAGGGCTGCAGAAGCAGAAGTGAAGTGGATAGTTAATCACTGTCTCCACTAAGAATGAATCATGTCACCTCTGCTTATGTTTCTTCCACCAAAGCAAGTCACATGACTGCAATTAACTTTTAGGGGTGTGGACCCCCTTAGACAGCTGAGAAAGGGAAACACTTTCTTCCAGTGGTATAAGGGATAAATTATAAGCTGAAAAGTCACTGCGATACTGGTTTGATCTCAGCTCGGCTGCCTCTTTCTAACCTGGTAGCTCAGGTTACTCAAATTCTCAGTGTTCCCATGTGTAAAACAGGTTTGATGCAGGAATCAGATCCATTTTTTTTTTTTTTTTTGCGGTATGCGGGCCTCTCACTGTTGTGGCCTCTCCCGTTGCGGAGCACAGGCTCTGGACGTGCAGGCTCAACGGCCATGGCTCACAGGCCCAGCCGCTCCGCGGCATGTGGGATCTTCCCGGACCAGGGCACGAACCCGTGTCCCCTGCATCGGCAGGCGGACTCTCAAACACTGCGCCACCAGGGAAGCCCCTGAGTAGCCCTTTTTGTTCAGGTGACCATCCCTCATCCAATCATTTGTGACCAGGAAGGTGGAGTCATGTGGTAGCAACATACTTATAGGACCTGTTTCTGGATGAGCGTGGTTCTCAGTAAAAGGGGATTAAAGTGAGTGAGGTAGACACAGCCCATGACTACTCTAAGAATAAGCGGTGAAAACTGAGGAAAAGCACATGGCTCTAATTAGGTACTCAAATCATTGTATCAATTATAATTAGTAATATTTATGAAAATCATGGCTTCAAGGAGTCTGAATGGTTTGTCTCCATTAAGGAGTCAGTCTTAGTTCTTCATCCAAAAGGCCCTGCTAGTGCAATTTCAACATGAGGTAAATCTGAGAGCTTTATGACATGTCAGAAGAAGTGGCCAAGTCTACCAGTGAAGCGTTGGTTACCTGCCTCTCAGGTGTCAGGCCATATACTAAAACTCTGTTGCTGGTTTATTTGCTATTTTGCTTCTGAATAGATCCTGTGATGAACTCTTTTTGACTTTTCTCAATTAAATGGTACCCTGGAAGATACCTTACTTATTGCTGATTCCAGAGAACTAGGCAAACCGAAGTGTGATATTCATAGGAGTACATTTTATCTAGTAAATGTTTTACTCTCAATCTAATTTTATTTTCCACTAAAAAAAGGGAGATCCCCTTGTCTTAAGGTCAGTTGCCGTATGCAATCAACTGAATCTCGAACTAAATATAATAAGGAAAACAAACGGAAACCAATTCCCAGATATTATCAGCCTGTGGCTGCAAGAGAAGTTCACATTTCCCTTAATATAAAAATTAATTCATTCCTTTAATATTAATTGGGCATCTAATATGTGCCAGTTATTGGATAAAAGAGATTTTTACATACTGAGGTATGGGGAAGTCATTCTGGTTTATACATGAGTTAACTTGAATTTTATGCTAACTACAAACAGCCTATTTGTGGCCTATCATACGTACATTGTACATCTGCTTTAATTATTAAAGAAAAGGGTGCACTGACCAGAAGTAAAGAATGTCCATGTTAAAAATAAAAATTAAATGTCTCTCCTCCTGGGATGCCAATACTGGTACTCCTTCATTGATAAGACTCCCTTCCCAGGTGCCAAGGCCATATTGACTCACCATGTACGTGCTGATCTGTTTTTTGAAACCTTGAAGGAATGTATCCCAGACTTGTTTAATGTTCTTTGTTCTGACAAGACATAAAACTGTGCTGAAAACCATGCTTCTCTGGAGCAGTTCCTCAGAATTATCTGAGAGGCTGTCTTCTGGCCTATAGTCCTTAATTTGGCTGAAATAAAACTCTTTTCTATTCCTATTATAGATTGTTTATTGATTATTTTCATGGACATACTGTTATCTATCAACCAAACAGACAAAAATCTCTGCACTCCTATTGGCCTTAAGTTCGAGATAGCTAAATTATAAGGACATCCAGTCTTTCCGTGGCCAGCCTCTCAAATGGTCCCCAATAATCTTTACCTCCTGGTATTCACACGCCATGTAGCCTCTCTCATACTGAACCAGGGTGGTCTATGTGAGCTCCAGAATATGTCAGAAGTGATGTATGACACTTCTCAGACTGTTATAAGAGACTCTATGGCTTCTGTTTTGGTCTCTCCCTTTTACTCTCTTGGCTCACTTGCTCTGGGGGGAGCCAGCTGCCACCTTGTGAGAATCTTGCAGCCTGTGGAGAGGTCCATTTGGTAAAGAACTAAGGTCTCCTGCGAACAGCCAGTGAGGAATGAAGGAATTTCGACAGGTCTATTTTCCCCCAAGAGCCAACCATGGTGCCCCTAATCCTCTGAACTGGGTCCTGGCCCAGTACTGGTCCCGGGGTGGGTCATATTCCGCCTTGCTCCAGAAAATGCGCAGGACCGGCAGGCATAGTATTAATACACACACATCCCTTCAGCCCTAACCACCTCTCTCCTGACGAGACCCCAGGCTTCTCCTGCAAAACCATAGCTCTCGTGTCTCTTATTAGAGGACACACCCCTCCCCCACCCGCCCCCCACCGCCGGCCTGCCCTTGGCCGTGCAGTCCAGTATCCTCCAGCTCTGCCTTCAAGGGGAATATGCGCATTTGTGTAGATTAAGCCTTGTCCCTGGACATTCTACTGTCGTAACCTGGCCTCTCCTAACCCTTGCTGTGTCCCAGATCCCTGGCCATCCCGAACTGCTCGGCACCCGCATGCGCAGTACGCATGCCGTCCGCAGACCTGGGACGGCGGGGGCGTCCAGGTCTGCGGAGGTCTGCACAGTCACCACAGCAACCCCTCACCCCCATCACTCTGAGTGGGCAGAAGCAAGTTGGCGACAGTCCACATTTGAGCTTGCTGCCTGATTGGCTCCGGGCTTCTCCTGCAACCAGGGCTCCAGGGTGACTCTTAACTGGAGGATTCCCTGGCCCGCCCGCCGGCCCCGCCCCTCCCCACCCCACAAGGCATTCGGGTAAGCTTGAGCTCTATTCCCCATTGGGGAGTAGGCGTACGACTTGTCCCCCAAGAGTCCCCTCCTGTGTCCCAGCCTCTCCAGACCCTTTTCCTGTTCCAGATCCCTGGCTACCCGGAACCACACAGCAGGTGCCTGGGCAGTACACACCTTTTCAGGAGGCCTTGGGAAGCTGGGGCCCTTCAGGCCTCTGATGGCATAGCCTGGCCTAACCACCCGGATATACACCTCTTTGGAGGCGGCCCACTTGAAATGCATTTGATACTGGGCTGCAAAGGTAGCAACAGTAATTCCCTAATTTGGTTTTGTGGCTGATGGGGCCCTGGGCCTCTCCAGGAACAAGGGCTCCCCCATTGCATGTCATTCCTGGAAGCTCTGCTCCCATCAATCAAGACTTGAGAGTTCCTGGGATGAATGGCTTCAGGTTAATGGAAGGCTTGTGCAGGAGCTGCACACTGACAGGGTGTTTTTAGATGATCTTCCTCCAGCCCCAGTATGACTGCAGCTTCAGCCAACGACAGCTGCCTGCAACCTCACCAGATATTCTGAGCCCGAATCTTGCAGCTAAGCCACTCCTGGGTTCCTGCCTCAGAGAAACTGTGACATAATAAATGTTTGTTTTTTTGAGCTGCTAATACTGGGGGAATTTTTTTACATAGCAATGAATAACTAATAGGTTTTTTATTCCTAAATATGCATAAGGACTCCAAAGTTACTCATCCAAGAATCACAGTGCTCCCAGAGGGCCAGAATTTGGCCTCACTCCTCAAGGCTAGGCTGATCTTGCTGAGCTGTATCAGTTATTCCTCCTGTCGTATTGTGTTGTGTTGGGGCTTATCCAGGCAACCAGCTCCTGCAAGTTTAGTCTGGCTGTTTCATTTGCCACCACTGTTCGTTCCTATATTTTCCACCTGGTTATTTACCCAGGTGGATCTTCAGTAGACCAGGAAAACACTTCTCTGATATATTAGTCATGAGCATCCCCACCACAAAAAAAAAAAAAAAAAAGGAGCCTCCTAGAAAGTACAACTCTTTAGTGATATTACAGACCCATAGCCATTTTCCCCAAAGCACAATCATAATGTCAAATTGAGTTAGTAGGAAGGGATTCTACCATTAGCCATACTCTATACCCAGAACACTCCCCGCCAACAATCTAGACAAAGATATAATGCTTGTCAGCAGTCCAGACCTCCCCCCCTTGTATAGCGGGTTTCCTCTTGGGCCTTTATTGTCCT